GCAGGCAGTGCAGCTGTTAGCTGTGTCTTCCATTTCTGCACACTGTTCTCTGTCCAGCAACGTGAAGTAGCCGAGACTCCCTGGACTTCCATATTTAAAGCCCAGTTTCTCCACCTTGATTGATGTGGCCTTTAGTCATCTCTGCCACACAAGGGTTCGCCTTCCTGTGGGTATAAACCCTCATCTTCCCCAGGATCCCTTTTCCTCGTTGCTGACCTACCACTCCTGTCCAGCCAAGTTTAACCACCCTTTCTGGTGTTCTGGCTATCTCTGATGAGTCCTGGTTTTACTGTTCAGACAAACTGAACAATTTCAAGGCATTGATTCTTTACAAATGAGAAAAGGGAAAAATATTTGAAGACTAGGGCAGGAAAATCATTTTAATCCAAGCACCCCAGACCTGTCTGGTGACATAGCAAGACCCCATTTTGAAACAAACAGGTAAGAAAATCTCGGGTCAGACTTTGTATCCTGAAACTGTGATTTGGAAAATGTTGTCTTATTCCTGGGGACTTCCCTAATCACTGCCCCTCCTGTGCCTTGGATCCCCCACTAGGTAGCCACTTCTCCAGGACAGAAATTATACCTTGTAAATCTGAAAAACTTCCAAATCTTTTGCAATAATGCTGAGATAAATCACTAGCACTACAATAAATGGAAATATAACAAATATTTTTGTACTCTTCACAAAATCATCTTCTGTTTGCTTGGGGTTTTGTTTTTGCTTATGGGAAGTTTGTTTTTTGAGACTCTCAAACTTAGCTTCCTGTGTGTTGGGCTTACAGGCACAAGCCACCATACCCAGCTCAAAATCACCTTTATTAGTATCTGAGAAATATATACAGTATGCCATGGATTTAGGCTCCAAGTCAGCACAAATCAGTGCTAATAAGGCTATAACAGAGTTGGACCTGGTGGCACATACCTATAACCCCACCACTTGGGTAGCTGAGGCAGGAGGACCTTGAGTTTGAGGACAGACTGGGCTACATAGCAAGCCCAAGCTCAGCCTGAGCTGCCTAGTAAGATTCTGTCTCAAAAAGGTCTTCTTTCCCAAAACAATACAGAGAAACCCTGTCTCGTAAAACCAAAAAAAAAAAAAAAAAGTCTTCTTTCTTTCTCCCTCCCTCCCTCCCTCCCTTCCTTTCTTTTTTTGTGAGTGTGAGTGTGTGTGTGTTTGTGTGTGTGTGTGTGTGTGTTGCTTTTCGAGACACACACACTATAACAGCTCTGGTTGTGCTGGAACTAGCTCTGTAGATCAGGCTGGACTTAAATTCGCAGAGATGCGCCTGCCGCTGTCTCCTGAGTGCTGGGACTAAAGGCGTGTGCCATCATGTGTTTCTTGTGTTTTTCTTTCTGTTTATTTGTTTTCTCCTATTCTGGTTCATTTTTTAATTGTATCTTGTTTTTTAGATGCTTTCATGCTTTCTAATGAGAGAGACAGAGACACACAGAGAGAGAAGGGGGTATGTATGTATTTGGGTGGGTGGGGAAGATTTGGGATAAGTTGGGGAGGGGAACTGTAATCAGAATATATTGTATAAATCTCTTTTCAGTGATAATTTTTAACAGGAAGTAAGTAGGGATGGCAAAATTGCTCAGCCTGATAACCTGAGTTCAATCCCTGGAACCCACATGGTAGAAGAAAATAACAAAACTCTTGAAAATTGTCCTCTAACCTCCACATGCATGCATGAACATGCACACACACATACACACACACACACAGAGAGAGAGAGAGAGAGAGAGAGAGAGAGAGAGAGAGAGAGAGAGAGGCATGCACACAAATAAATAAACAAATTTAAAAATAAAAAGATCCAAGTACTGAAAGAGTACTCAAAGACTCAAGCAAAGAGCCGGTCTTTGGTGGCGCACGCCTATAATCCCAGCACTTGGGAGGCAGAGGCAGGTGGATCTGTGTGAGTTTGAGACCAGCCTGGTCTACAAGAGCGAGTTCTAGGACAGCCTCCAAAACATCATAGAGAAACCCTGTCTCAAAAAACCAAAAAAAAAAAAAAAAAAAAAAAAAAAAAAGACTCAAGCAAATCTTCTCCAGGTTGTGAAGAAAGCTTAGGGTCAGAAAGTCAGTGTTACCTCATGGGGCCCCGAGCAAATAACCTAGCATGAGCCAGACAGAGAGCCGGGTGTCAGTAGCATTCCAGCTCTCCCGTGTCCACTTCCTTCATCCCGGCCACTCTGACCATCGGTCTCTTAGGTAAAGTATGACTAACATTAGCAGTAATGACTGAAGTTTACTGAGTGCCGTGTCCTGTGTCAAGTCAAGCACATTGCATGTACCCAGCCACTTACTCCCTACCACAGCCCCATAAAGGAGGCACTGTCAGTGGCCCCGCTTTATGAGTAAGGAAACTGAAACACTCTTTAGTCATTTGCCCAAGGCCACCTCGTAGCAAGCCCAGGACCAACTCCAGGCCATGTGACAACACAGTCTGTTCTGAACTCTGCTGGCCAGTGGCCTCCCTCAGGGTTGTGAGGACTAAATTAAGCAGTGAGTGAAAGGCCTCAGCACAGCACCAGATAAAGACAGTATGATTAGCACATCCTCACTAGACCTGCAGTACTGAAGCTCAATTCCAGATGAAGACAGTATGATTAGCACATCCTCACTAGACCTGCAGTGCTGAAGCTCAATTCCCGGCACAACGGAAATCCTCTAGAAACGCCCTTTTCCTAGTGCTCAGTCCTCACTTTGGGTCTTCTACACATTGTAGGTAAACAGCCCACATCCCAGAGTGCAAGCAGGTGTGGGGAAAGTTCCTTTATGCAACAATAGGTGGGCACAATCTACTGAACACACCTTTCCTATACACAGTTCTACACCAGTAGGCAGTTTATTTTTATTTGTTTGTTTGTTTGGTTGGTTGGTTTGGTTTTTCAAGACAGGGTTTCTCTGTGGCTTTGGAGGCTGTCCTGGAACTAGCTCTTGTAGACCAGGCTGGTCTCAAACTCACAGTGATCCACCTGTCTTTGCCTCCCGAGTGCTAGAATTAAGGCAGTTTAATTTTTTGTTGCCTCCTCCTAATTACCTTTATGATCTTCTAGAGATCAATTTCTTTGTATTGGGAAATGTTCGAGCTTCATGTCACTGAGGGGAAATTGGCATTAAGTACTGCCAGTACCTGTGAGGTTTCTAAGGCTAAGATATGTTCGGGGTGGAAGCTTCACCCCAGCCCCTGGCATCCATATACCCAAAGAGTCTGGGATGTTATGGTGGAAGTTCCTCCCAAGCCCCACCCCTATCTCCCCCCAAACCTTGTTGCATCTCAGAAATCCCACCAAATCATTACCCCTCCCTCAGAAAGATGCTCAAAACCACTCCTACAGGGTATTTAAACTGCCCCCCAGAAGATAGACGTGTAGCTTTCTGGCCTCTTTCCCGTCTCCTCTCTCTGGGGGGCTGGAAAACCATCTGGAGTGCTGTATCCATTAAATATGGGCTTTTTCTAATTTGGTTTTATTTGGTCTGATTTGGATTGCTGCATCGGCAGAGAGACTTATCAGGGTACAGAAACTTTTCAAGACTGCAAAGCCAGGGACTGACAGGGTGTTGTTCATTGAATGCGTCCTCCTGAGTCTCCATCTTGGATGGGCCATCCAGATTCACACACACACACACACACACACACACACACACACACACACACACAGAGTCACCTCCTCTAATATCTGTTTATTCATTCCAGTAGCATACAAGTGAAAATCACATATCTCCACCTGTCCTCCACTCCCTCAGGTTTCACTTGAATGGTTTGGTTTTTTTGCATGTTCATTATATATGTAAGTACATGTTAGATGAAACCTACATATTTCCTTACAAATATTCTTTCCATTCCCATCCCTCACATTTCCTGACTGTTCTGAATGGCCTTTGGTTCTGCCTTCTCTGCTTTCTGTTTCTTTCTCAGTTCCCATAATGGCAACACTGAGCTATGGAACAGCACAAATTTGATGTAGAACTTGTATTTCTCTTTGAAAAAGACCTTGCTGCTTGCCTTCCTCTTCCGAGGCAAAGCTCTGTATTTCTGGGTTAGGCAAGAGAGGAGCCAGGCTGCAGCAGGTGATCAGGTCAGGGTGCTTGGGCTGCAGAGGGTGAGCAGGTCAGGGTGCTCGATTGTTCAAAATGTCCTAGATCAGGTGAGCATGGGAGAACATGGCCCACTTGTCTAGCCCTAGGATCAGCCCCTCCTAAGCCAGAGAACCCAGAAACATTGGCCTTGGCCACTGACTGGCACCCTTTCTGGCATAACTGTATGGGTATGGCCTAAGTTTGTGGGACCTGCTTTCCCTTTTGGGTTCTTTCCAACCTTCGACCTCTTCCCCAGGGTCTTTCCCTTTCAAATTAGTTCTTGAACCATGGTGTGAAACCTCTTAGGAAGATTCCAGAAAGCTTCCAGATTAAAGGAACCCTGCTCTGATCAGGACACCAAAAACAGTGAAATGTGGTGGGACAGGCGCTGGCTCAGGGAGTTGGGACGTGTTCAACATACGCATGTCCACACCTGTAGAGGGATGGTCAACTTCTGGGATAACTAGAGGGAGGTGGCCATGCATAGCATTCTGACAGACCCTACCCCATTGCAGCCATGGAGATCATGAGGTAACTGTAAGGTAGAGGAAATGAGCCTATTGGTATCACTATCATGTGAGCTGCTCTATGAAGGTCCTGGGGTGGACATGTCATGATCCCAACTCAAAAGGGAAGAATGAACTAAGGTACTGCAGAGGAAAACGTTCTTGGGTCCCCCACAGCCATGGGCCTTGGCTTCTTCACGGCCAACTATGAACTGAGTTGTCTTCCACACCCAGGAGGCCAGGTGCTGGATGGAATTCCATAAGAGGTGCCAGCAAACATGCGAAACAAGGATAAAAATCTGTTTATAAACATCCAGGCTGTCCCCAGAAACTTGAAGATGGGTACACTCTACTTGATAAAGGGGAGCTAAGAGATTCACCTGGCTGGAGACAAACAGGACAATGTGTTGAAGAGAGATTGGAACTTTATTGAGACCTTCTCCCTGATAAAACCAGACTGGAAAGAACACTGGAAAGGTCAGCCACTGTTTAGGCACCTACACGAGCATTCCACTCGGGAAACCTCTGGATCTCATGTTTCTCCTGGGATGAAACCCCCTCCTCCTAGAGTCAGAATCCTACTCAAAATCCATCTCCCTACAGAGCAGGACAAAGAATGGGTGCTAAGCCCTGTGCTGGCCCATCAGCAGCCCATGGATAGGAGAGGAGAGTGAATTGGGAGGTGAGAAGAGGAACAGAATGGAGACAAAGAAGAAAAAGGCAGAGGAAAACCCAAAAGGAGGGTAACACTGATAAGGTGCCCCTCCCCCAAACACAAATGCTGTATGAATTTGTTTGCCTTACTTCACTTGCTTCCCACCAAACATGCAGGTACTGACAGCTAGGCCAGAGTCCGTACAGGTCAGCTTTTCTCCTTGTCTCTCACTGCAATGAGGAAAAACAGATTTGCTGTACAAAGCCCTTGGGCATGAGGAGCATGAAGGAGAAAGGTGGGAGGGACAGTGTCTCCAGAGCATGTGATGGAGAGATGAGGAGAGGCGTTTGGGGGCTGGATGTATATTTTAATGGGAAAAAAATCCAAGACAAACTGCAGCTTATCTACCCGAGCCACAGGGCTCCATGGGTGACCCTATAGAAGGAGCTCACTCCTTGGAAACAGTGTCCTGGCAGCTTTGGAGCATTTGACTTGTGGGAGGTCCTGCGCCCTACATAGAGCTAAAGCAGCATCTTCCCTCACAGCCAGAGCCAGACTGCTAAATATTCAGAGAGACGTGAACTCCTAAACTGAAGTTCTCTTTGTAGCCCCCACTGATTACCAGTCTGCTTATACTCCCTACCTGGTCCTCAGGAGGAACAACTCTGGCTCAGCTTTCCTAACCACTTCCTGCTGCTCGAGGTGACTCACTGGTCCTGGTGGGTCCCGACCTGTGCCTCACAATCCAGGCCCCCCAGGAAAGCTTACTCCCCCCAAAAAAGCAGCTGGCTGTACTCAAAGGAAGTCCTCAAGACAGTCTGATCTTTGCCTTTCCTGCTCCGTCAAAAAGGCTCTTCATCCTCCCAGGGCTTCATCTCTAAGATAGCAGCGTATGTCTGCCAGGCAAGACTCTCAGAAGTCCTTTCTCTGTGCCCTCAAGTCTGTCATTGTCCTAGCTCTCTCTTGTACAATGGACAAACAAATGCATACTCACTGGTGTGTGTAGGCCCTGACTGTCCTGACTATATTCAGTGGATGTCTTCAGGTTGAACTGAACCTCAGACCTCGTCTGCCGCCAATGCCAAGGGGCTGGGGCTGGTTCTGAATCTAGGAATTTCTCTCAGATGGAAGTATTGGTGTATCAGGGAATGGAGAAGGGGAAGGAGAAACCAAAAGAGACATGTCCTCTGTCAAGTGCTCCCACAAAGAGGTTGCAGAAACAGTTCCCCCCAAAACTTGGGAGAAGTGGCTGTCCAGAGAAGCCTCCAAGGATCAGGGGCAAGGTCCCCATTGTCATTTCTGACACCCACACCTTTGTAATCTGAGTTTCCCGAGACATGCAACAGATAAAGACACACTGCAAACCAATTAACCCCTGAGCCCTTCCATTACTTTCATGTAAGTCATTTCCAGGAGGAAGAGCACCTATTGAGTACATCATCCACTCACCCTTTTGGGCCGATTAAGGGTCTGAGCTCTCCAACTGAGACATCATTAGGCAGATAACACCCTAATCAGAAAACTTGCTTTAGTGTTCTGCATGCCCTACCCACTGGGAAGACAGAGAGACGATTCCAAGGTTGGGCTCAAAATTCATAAAGATCAGACTCAAGAGACTGTCCACTGCTGAAAATCAACCCAAGCTTAGGAGAGAGCCAAGGAGGGACAGGGAATGGACAGAAGATTTGTGTGAAAGGAGTTGGCACTGACCTGAGAACCCTCTATTATTTGGGAAATTTCAACTGAGTTTAGCTTATCTGACCCTCATTATCTTAGTATTCATTAGAAGTTAGCTGTTCTCTGTCCCTCCAAGACAAGACCCAAGAAAAACAAGAGAAGCCTGACTAGCCTGTGTCAGGCCTTCTAACTGAAGCAATAAGACAAGCACACTATAATTCACAGTTTCCACTCTCCTCCCTAGAACCCTTGTTCCTTCCCTGATTCACCGGTCTCAATGAACTCCCCAATCTCCAGTGCAGACTGTTTGTCACCAGTGTGGCTCAAAGGGTTAATATAAACCAGGACTGCTCAGACAGTTAGAACACAAGCTCATTCACCAATGGGGACTGAGAGTGGTGACACAAACTAGTGCTTCCTGTAGCGATTCTTTGGGGCCTCACCGCAGCCTGTTTTGTCACAATTAGGGGCACCTGGATTCTTCCCAAGCCCAAGGCTACCCAGAAGGCCGGGGAGCTCCTGGGTGATGGCCCGTTCAATCTTCTCCAGGAAGCAACCCCCCATGTAAGAACACTGCTGGGAGAGGAGTTTGAAATTGGAAATGGGGTTGATGCCAAAGAAGTCCTTGTAGGCCTCACGGTTGGGAAGATCAAACTTGCTGACATTGGTCTTTGCCAGGATGGTCTTGAAAATGTAGAATTTATCAGGATCTTCCACAATGTCCTTAAAGACCAGTTCCCCATCACTGAAGAAGGTCATTTTGTCCTTGTAAGTCTGCAGATATCGGTCAACTAAAAGGGCGTGAATTCGGACACGGATGGCATGCTGGCGAATAAAAGCAATCTTGTTCTCTAACCTGTTCTCAATCACCTGGTTCAGGTCTTCTAGGAGAGAGATCTCTTCTTTGAGGAACAGTTCCCGGTGGGTGTCAGGTTTGTAGTCCTGTGGCCAGAAGGAGCTGACATAAACCCGTGGAGGCTCTGTGACATTGATGAGAGGGGCCAGGCTCCAGAAGAGAGCTCCATACACCCGCATGAGCATTTGTGTGGCCAGGTTGTCAGCCTTGTTCAAAATTATCCTTATCTGGGACTCACGTCCCTTCAACTGGCGGAAGAGTGTCTCTAGCTCCAGACCCACATCCAACTTGGTGGGATCAAAGACAACAAAGATGAGGTCTGCTCTGTCGATGAACCACTGGCACACATCATTGAAGGGGTAGCCTTGGAGAGACAGGAATGAGAAGTCAAGCTGAGTGGGACACACATAAAGCCCATTGTACCTCCCTTCAGTACCAGACCATTGTGTGGGCTGAGCAGAGTCATAGCTCTGGCAGTTTCCTGGGTTTCTAAATACCAGTGAGCTTATCTCTTGTTTTTGTCAAGAACAGTCTGGCCCATGCTTTAATATCCAGTGGCCTCTGAATCCCTAGCAAAGTAAAGGATTTGTCCAAAGTGCAGTTTTTTATGCAGTGTGTGGTAGTGTACTCCTGTAATCCCAGATCTCAGGGAAGCAGAGGCAGGAGGACCTTCAGTTCAAGGCTAGGCTGAGCCACATAATGAGATACTGTTCAAAAACAAAAACAGCAACAAAAAGAAAAAAATTGGGACTAAAGAGAAGTCTCAATGGATAAGAGCACTGGCTGCCCTTTCTGAGGACTCAGTTTCTGTCCCCAGCACCTACATGCCACTCACTACTATGTAAGTTAAGTCTCAGAGGAGCCAAGTCCCTCTTCTGGCTTCTGTGGACGCCAGGCATGCATGTGTTACAGACATACATGCAGGTAAAACAACCATACACATAAAAATAATTATTTTATTTTAATTTTGGTTATGGTTTTTCAAGACAGGCTTTCTCTGTGTAGCCCTGGCTGTCCAGGAACTCACGATGTAGACCAGGCTGGCGTTGAACTCAGAGATCCTCCTGAATGCTGGGATTAAAGGTTTGTGCCACCACCGCCCAGCTAAGAAATAATAAAAATTTTAAAGGAAAGAAAATCAAGTTATCTTCTAAATGTCTAAAAAGATCTAGGACAATGGCAAGGATGTTGAAAGAGGGGTATCAGGAAGTCAGACGGAAAGAGGATGTGTGGCTTAAGGAGAAAAATGTAGTCAAGTGTTGAGTGTCTGTTGAGACCTGAGCTAGCCACAGACCAGCTAGATGGTCACTGCTCTCAAAGTCTTGCTCATAAGCTATAAAATTACAAAAAGAACAGTAATACCAAGGCTAACATAAAAACTGCCATTAGACTGGGTGTGGTGGCACATGCTTTTAGTCCCAGCACTCAGGAAACAGAAGCAAGAGGATCTCTGTGAATTCAAGGCCCGCCTGGTTGTCATAGCAAGTTCCAGAGCAGCCAGAGCTGTCTCAAAAACAAAGCAAAACAAAAATAATGTTCGGAGAGAGAGAGGGAGAAAGAGAGAGAGAGAGAGAGAGAGAGAGGGAGGGAGGGAGGGAGGGAGGGAGGGAAGGAGGGAGGGAGGGAGGGACGGACGGACGGAGGGACGGAGGGAGGGACGGAGGGAGGGATTACTGTTTAAAACAAGAAAGCACCCAGTTAAATCTGAAGCCATACAGGTGCTCATTATATATTAATTCTTCTCACTTGTTGGTTTTCTTATTTACAAAACAAGACAACAACAGCAGAAAAAAAAAAACACAAGACAACAAGGAATACCACTGGGTGACTGTTCTTGTCTGTCAACTTGACTACATATGGAATTAACTAAAACCCAAGTGGATAGGTTTACCTGTGAGGGACTTAATTAAATCACTTGAAGTGGGAAGACCAACTTTTATTCTGATCTTTTGAGGTGGGAAAAGCCACCAGTAATCTGGGCCACAGCTTCTGCTGGCAGCCTGTATAAAGGACATGGGAGAAGGAAGCTTGCCCTCTTCCCTGTTTGTCCTCCAACTTACTGCCAGGTTCATTCCTTCACTGGCATTAGAGCCTACTTCTTCAGGATTCCACCGTATACTGAAGACCAGCTGAAATATCCAGCCTTGTGGACTGAACAACTACTGGATTCTTGGACTTCCTGTTAGTAGACAGTCATTGCTTATAATCCATTCTAATAGATCTACTTTATATCTATATAGAGAGAGAAATCTATGTGATATATATATCATATAAAGAGATGACAGATAGATTCATTCATTCTATAAATTCCGTTCCTCTGAAGAACTGTGTGATTAATACAGTTTTGAAAACACTGATTTTTTTTATAATGACCAACAAAATAACGTATTAAACTATCTGATTCATAATATGGGTATAATAAGATGTTCATAACTCTAAATTATGCTATTACTAATAAATCAGGGTCTAGTTATAACCTAAACACAAGTTATAACCATAAATTGAGATTTGTCATTTGACCACATATTACTATGACTGTCCTGGTTAGGGCACATCAGTGCAGACAGTCATGTGCTGTGGCAGTAGTCAGTGCCCTATGATACAGCCTAATGCCTACTAGGCCCAGAATAGCAATACCCTACCCTCTGAGGCAAGCAGGAGCTGGGAAGCCTAATAAAGGTTTAGGCTAAAGCAAGCCCACCCAACAAAGCAGATGGAGGGAGTAAGAAGAGATGTAGCCCATGCCTAAGGCCCAAGTTAGCCAGCATTTAAATATAATTCACCAGGATCCAATTAGTCCAGACCCTCCACTATTCAGGATAGACAACTAATCCCTAGCTTGAACATCTCCAGAGACTTACAAAGACCATTACTCCCCCTAGGAAAATACTGGCCATCTCCAAACTTAGACAACCCTTTAGGAGGCAAAGAACAAGATACTTCAAACCCCCAAGCGGTATCACAGCAACAGTTGGGAAGGAGTGGAGGAAAGGATGCGTCTGTTGGGCTTGAGCATTAACCATCCTTGCTTCCTTGCTGGCCTACCACCCTCTGTTGGTCACAGTGTCCTAAAACAGAGCTCTTGCTACTCAGAAATGGATCGTGTGTGTGTGTGTGTGTGTGTGTGTGTGTGTGTGTGTGTGTGTGTGTGTTATGCATGAGAAGGTGAGTGTGTCCATAGGTATGCATACATTGAGAAGATGGCAGGTATCTTCCTTTACTACTTTCTGTCTTATTTCTTTAAGACAGGGTCTCTCATTTTGGCTAGGCTGACTTGGCCCCAGAGCTTCAGAATCCAGGGATCACCTATGCCCACCCTACAACACTGGTGTTATAGGCACAGGTAACCATGCCTCACTTTTGGGGTTTTTGAGACAGGGTTTCTCTGTGTAGCCCCTGCTGTCCTGGAACTCACCCTGTAGACCATGTTGGCCTGGAACTGAGATTCACCTGCCTCTGCCTCCCAAGTGCTGGGATTAAAGGTGTGCACCACCACCTCTAGGCTTCATGCCTCTCTTTTTACATGGGTGCTAAATTTGAAATTCAGATCCTCATGCTTACAGAGCAAGTACTCTTACTCTGAGCACATCCCCAGCCCACTAAATTACCTCTTTCCTGTTGTTTGCGGTTTTCAATAATGCCTGGTGTATCTACAAAAGTGACTCGTTCTAGAAGTTTGTGGGGAACCTCGATGCCAATCAGCTTCTCCAGAAAATTCTGGCCAAACTTTTCCAGGGGTGAGAAGGATCGGGCACTGTCAGCGGCCATGACGATGCCCTCAATGGTTTTCAGCTTGGGCCCATGCATAAGAACAGTGAACTCGGAGGTGGTAGGTTCAGCACCTGCATACATGAGTGAGAGATGGGAAAACACAACCGCTGGTAAACAGACAAGCAAGGCATCTTGGAAAGGCTTCCATAAGGATGAGACAGGTGTGCTAGGTTCCTGCCTTCTCACCTTTTAATTGTGCCCAAGTACACAGAACATAACATTTACATTTTTTTGTTTTTTGTTTTTTTTTTAAATTTTATTTTCCAGTTTAAATTTAGATAAGAAACAAGGTTGCTTCACAAGTCAGTTCCAGGTCCCTCTCCCTTTCCCTCCCCTCCTCCCGTGCCCTCCCCCCAACCCCCCCAACATTTACATTTTAATCTTTAAACTTATAGTTCAATAGCATCAAATATATTCACATTATCATCAAATGGTTAGTTATCCTCACTCACCAGAACTTTATCATCTTCCCACACTGAGACTCTGTCTCCATTAAGTAGTAATCTGCATCCGCTTCCTTGGCAGCCTCTATTCTTTCTCTGCCTCTGAGGTTTTCGTATTGCAGCACCTCGTGTGAGCAGAATCATGCAGTGTCTGTGCTTCTGCACCTGGCTTATTTTAGCACATTTTCAGGGTTTATCCATATTGTGTCAAGGATGTATCTGATGTGTTCTGACAGCATGCATGTTTAACTCCTTTCTAGCTGTTCTTGTGTGTGTGTGTGTGTGTGTGTGTGGTGTGTGTGTGTGTGTGTGTGTGTGTGTGTTACATGCACCTGCCATGGCCCAGGGGTGGAGGTCGGAAGACACACCCTCACCTTCTACCTTATCTCTTGTACACAGCTGCATAGGCCAGGTTAGCCGGCCTCCAGGCTTTCAGGGTCTCTCCTAGCTCCAATTCTGATCTCCCTATAGAAGTACCACAATCCCAGACACATGTGCTACTCACCTGGCTTCTCTATGGATACTAGGAACCTGACTTCAAATCATCAGACTTGCACAGCAAACACTTTACCCACTGAGCTAGCTCCTCAGTCATGTGACATTCCTTTCTAAGGCTACATTTCGGTTATTCCTTCATCCAGCAGTGGACACTTGAATTGTTTCTACTTTGAGACTTTCATGAGTAATGCTGCCATGGAGGTGGTAGAGCTTCTGGTACTTGCATGTAATATCCATTAATATTATTAAGGGCATACAAATGCTTTAATTATTCGTCTGCTTTAACAATTTAAACACTCGGGGCTGGAGAGATGGCTCAGAGGTTAAGAGCACTGACTGCTCTTCCAGAGGGCCTGAGTTCAATTCCCAGCAACCACATGGTGGCTCACAACCATTCGTAATGAGATCTGGTGCCCTCTCCTGGCGTGCAGGCAGGATGCTGTATTCATAATAAATAAATAAAATCTTTAAAAAAAAAACAATTTAAACACTCCCAAAATTCTCACCTGTATAAAGCTGGTAACGAGTGTCTTCTAACCCAAGGAGGTAGTTTATCATGGTGGATTTGCCAACGCTCCACGGTCCCAGGAACAGCACCATTGGCTTGGAAGTAATCTCCCCATCTGCAGACAACAGAGGTGAACTGACATCAGTTCTTTCTGTAGGGGCAGCACTGTCTCCAAAGCACTCTGCATTCCCCACTGTCAGCCACCAGCTTGTGGGGTTCTACGTGGATCACGGTGCAGCAGTCAGTGGCACTTTTCTTGCTTTACGGGAACATTCACTCAAAAGACACCAGAAGTCATTGTTCTGACCTGTTCCAGATCCTCGGCACATCTGCCTGCACCAGAAGGAGGAGCCAAGTGGGTTAATACACACTGGCTCAGGACTCAGCTGGTTGCAGTCTCCTGCCTAAATCTAGAGAAGAGCAATGCATAAAGAAAAAAAAGGAAAGAAACACAGAGCTTCCTCACTGAGAAAGACCGAAATTTGCTACCCAGCTCAATAACAAGAGAAGGAAGGACATGGAAGAGGCATACACCGTGTTGAACCACCTGAACCTGAGGCTCTGCTCTGTCCTCTCCTCTGCACTGTGGCTCCCAAATCCCCACCTCAAGCTCAGACTAGTCTCAGATGTTCTGTCCCAAAGTCCATGATAAGTCTTCCAGGGTCTGAAACCAAACACTGAAAACTGGGAATCCCTACATTCTTGGTCCTGGGGCCAGTGTCCTCCCAGACGCCATGTTGGAAAGTACACTCTACCAAGGCTGCTTAGCTGGGGGAAGTGGAATTCTCTAGGTTTCAAAAACAGGGATGAGGGCTTAGGAGGGTCTTCAGTGGCAGAGCATTTGCATAGTATTGTGAGGTTCAATCCCTAGTGCTGAAAACATAAAATAAAAATAAATAGGGGCACAGAAGAGGGTGAGGGCCTTTGGACGGAGATATGATTTGTCTTGTTGTTGATTTCTGGTCATCTTAGTTCTTTTCTGAATGATATCCACTGAGCACCTACTTTCTCCAGAGTTTTGTATTCCTGAGCCTGTAGGTAGTCCTCAAAATGTAGGCCTCCTTTTTTTTTTTGTTTGTTTGTTTGTTTTTGTTTTTCGAGACAGGGTTTCTCTGTATTGTCTTGGAGGCTGTCCTGGAACTCGCTTTGTAGACCAGGCTGGCCTGGAACTCACAGAGATCCACCTGCCTCTGCCTCCCGAGTGCTGGGATTAAAGGGGTGCACCACCAACGCCCAGCATGTAGGCCTCCTTTTAAAACTTCTTTTTCGTTTATTTCCTATAATTCTGTGTAATATCTTGACTCAAAAGTCTGAAGTACAAAAAGGCCCACTCTAAGTAGGCCATAACACCCTCTCTAGTAGGTAACTAATGCTAGGAGGGTTTTTTTTCTAATGTTTTTCCTTTTGAAACAAGGTTATGTTATATTGCCCAGGATGTCCTCAAAGTCCCAGGCTCAAGAATCCAGTGATTCTCCTGCCTCAGCCTCCAGAGTATCTGGGACTGTTTGTGTTCTGCTACACTGGGCAACATTGCTAATTTATGGCATTTTCCCAGCTGTCTTGCTATCCAGCTCATCATTTCTGTACAGTGTATCGCATGATTGCCCTTCTGCACCTGGCTTTTGGTTACATGGCTTTTGTTTCTCCGGGGTAAATACAGCACTAGAAGATAGTATCTTGTGCATGGTGAACACATATCCATGGCCTGGCCCCTTCCCTCCTGCCTGGGGACAGGATGGATTAGCAGGTCAGGATGGGTAGGACCAGGTACAGAGATTTCACAAAAAGCTGGTGCTGGTTGTGTGAGTTCTGAGACAGGGTTGCCAGTGCTGCTGTTTCAACTCTGCACAGCAGGGGGCATCGTGGGCATGTGTGGAAGGACAGTAATAAGGTTGAAGGATAGGGGCCATGCAGGAAGCTGACAAGAGATTAGGACAGAGAAGCCAAGTCCAGAAAGGGAAGCCAGAAAAGAGCCAATTGGCCTTTGCTGAGAACCAATCCTGGGACAGCAGGCAGCCTCTTGGCCACTGAGAAAGCCTGGAGTTTCCCCAGGAGGGCCATGCCACTCTTGATGTCAGAGTAGGGAGAGAAGGCAAGTACAGAGGACGAAAAACACCCCTGGGAGATTCTGTAACCTCCTACCAGGGTCTGCACGTCCTCTAAGAAACAGAAGAGGACTACTGACTCTTAGGCTTGTAAGAATGGTAGAACTGACAGAACAGGATATTCCCTGGGGAAAGAAACACAATCAAAATCCTGACCGCAGCCGGGCGGTGGTGGTGCACGCCTTTAATCCCAGCACTCGGGAGGCAGAGGCAGGCGGATCTCTGTGAGTTCGAGGCCAGGCTGGACCGACAGCCTCCAAAACAATACAGAGAAACCCTGTCTCGGAAAAAAAAAAAAAATCCTGACCGCAGCTCCATGGCCATGGCAGCCAGCACTACCTGGGCCTCAGGTTCCTTTCTGTAAAGTAGGACTATATATGCCCTCAGATACCACAGCTACTCAGTAGGCATTAGGATAATATGGAAACTGCCAAGTAACACAGGGAGAGACTTGTGATATCACTCACAATTGAAACAAGGGCTGCGGTTATAGCTCAGTGGTAGAGCACTTGCCTAGGATGCTCAAGGCCCTGAGTTCCATCCCCAGAACTGAAAAGAAAAAAATAGCAATTATAAAAGCTTTAAAACACTAGTAAGAGTAGCTGTGGCTATAGCTCAGTGACAGGGCACCTTCTTAGCATGTCTGAGGACTAGGGGCAGGAGATAGCCCCAGAACTGCAAAAATGAGCAACACTTTTTAAAATGGCAAACTGTGGTGGAGCAAGAATTCTCTGGTACATTCCTGTGAGTGCAGAGTAGAGTACTTCAAGGTGGTTTTGTAACAATGATCAAAGTACTTGATTCTAGTATTCCATATTAATTTTTAAACATTTATTTGTGGGGCTTGGGTGTTCCAGAGGATAAATTGTGGGAGTTGGTTCTCTCCTTCCACCATGTAGGCTATCAGGACTGGCAGATAGTGCTCTAACCCTCTGAGACATCTTGTCAACCCCTCTACTATTTAAAATAAAAGCAAGCAAACAAACCACGTCCTACAAATATCTGTGCACAAAACATACAGTGACTATACTAGTGTTTGGGATGTTTTAAGTTCACTTTTTTTCCTAGACAGCATCTTATTCTAAAGCTGAGGGTGACCTGAGATTCACTCTGTAGCCCAGGCTGGCTTTCAATTCCCAGTGATCCTCCTGCCTCAGCCTGCCAAGTGCTGAAACTATTGGCACAGCCACCATGCCCACCTCTGGAGCATTAATTTCTTTATTTATTACATGATGTGTTTGCATGTGTGTGAGTGTGCACAGCTTGATGTGTGTATAGAGGCCAGAGACAACTTTCAGGGGCTGGTTCTCTCCTACCCTGTGGAGTCCAGGAACTAAACTCAGGCCATCCGGCTTGGAGGCAAGCACCTTCACCTGCTGAGTCACTTCACTGGTCCCATTGGGGGGGTCTTTTTGAGCTCTGGCTCTCCTGCTGTCACTAAGTAGACCAGGGTGGCTTTAAACTCACAGAGATCTACCCGCTGGAACTAAAGGTGTATGCCCCCACTCACAGCTACTGGCTCCATTTTTTTTTTTAAGAAAAGGGAAAGCATTTATTGTCCCTCAGGAATTGGATGCTATTGTACAGAGCCTGGTGTGTTCTTAGAAAGCAGGACCAAGAAGCCTTAATAAAGAATAATGGACAGTCATGCATGTATGCACATACATGTATATATATATACATGTATATATACATTCACATATATACACATATGCACAGTTGGCATAATATGACTCCATATATGTGAGAAGAAAAAGACTTTTGTATGCTCATAGATACAGAGGAATTGTATGGAAGATCCTATTGCTTCCTGTAGTTTTGAGCACTATAACAAGAGACTGTGAGTGGGTGTCTCTGGGGTGGAATTAGACAGATTGGAGATCAAAAAAGAAATTCTCTCTCTCCCTCTCTCTCTCTCTGTATGTGTGCGTGCGTGCGTGCGTGCGTGCGTGCGTGCGTGCGTGCGTGTGTGTGTGTGTGTGTGTGTGTGTGTGTTGGAGAGAGAGCTGCCATGTAGTAGCCCAGAGTTCACTGTATAGCCTAGTTTGGCCTCAAAGTTACAATTCTCCTGCTTCTTCCTCCCAAAATCTAGGATTACAGTTATATGCCATCATGCCTGGCTTTATTTTTCAGTTTATATTATTTTACATTATTTGAATGAAATTGAAACAAGAATGTCTTTTTTTTATTATTTTAAAAACCAAGTTTTAGCAGGTCACTGGTGGATTATACCTTTAATCCCAGCACTCTTTGGCAGAGGCAGAGGCAGAGGCATCTCTGTGAATTCGAGGTCAGCCTGGTCTATAAAATGAGTGGCAGGACTGTTGCACAGAGAAACTCTGTCTGAAAAAAAAAAAAAGCAAAACAAGAGAAGTGTTCAACATCCTTAGCCTTCAGTGAGTGTTGTATAGTTAGTTTTCATGAAGTTTTGCATGTAGTTTTTCATACAGTGTTGTACAGTTAGTTTTCATGAAGTTTTGCATGTAGGTTCTCAGCAAGTGTTGTATAGTTAGTTTTCATTAAGTTATACATGTAGGTTCTCATGTATATGTAGTTAGTTGAGGCCACCCTGGTCTATAGAGGGAGTTCCAGGACAACCTCCAAAGCAATACAGAGAAACCATGTCTCGAAAAACCAAAAAATAAAAAAACAAACAAACACCAAGTTTTAAAAGAATTCAGGCCCTATTTTGGGTGCAGTAGCACACATAGAAAGCCAGCTCTGAAGAAGCTAAGGCTTGCTGTTCCCAAGTTCAAGACCAGCCTGAGCTACATGGTGAGACTTTGTCTCAAAAGTCAGCAGCAGAAGCCAGGTGTGGTGGCACGTGCCTTTAATCCCAGCACTCAGGCAGAAGCAATCATATCTCTGAGTTCAAGGCCAGTCTGAACTACAGAGTGCGTTTCAGGACAGCCAAGGCTATTACACAGAGAAGCCCTGTCTTGAAAAACCACACACACACATATCATCGTCTTCTTCATCATTCAGGAACAACACACATAAATCATCGTCTTCTTCATCATCCAGGCCCAAAGGAAGCCTCCCAGGAGGAACAATAAGGAGGCAGGGAGAAATATAGCCATTTGGAGGCCTATGTGAGTAGGGACCCTGGAGGCTCTTGAGCCCAGGAAGGGTCACACAGGCTTACTGCCCTGGAAATCAAAATGCCTATTGCTGAGACAAAGTGCCGGGCAATGACATCTCTGTCATAGGCTCACAGCATTGAGCGCTCACTTCCAGGCCTGAGTTCCTGTGCTTCAATCCTCTGGAAAGCTCAGCTCCTGGGGTCCTAGCACACATTACCCATGGATCTTGTGAACCTATGTAGGCACCAGGGAGGTGGGAGGGGGGAAAGGTGCAGGCCCGATTCTGGGTCCTGATGCTGTACCTGTGATCTCATGCTGTCGCAGCTCATTGTACTTGTAAGACTGCTCCAGGGGCTTGATGGATGTATGGTAGATCTTCCGCAGCCGCTGCAGCACCGCTGGGAGAGAGGAGCAAGGAGTGAGCATCGGGCCGGGCCATCAGGCTGCTCCTCTCTGTAGAGCCATCTCATACCCCAAGAGATTCTAGCTCTGCCTGGTGAGGAGAGCCATTGGCAGCCCAAGATCATGACATGATTGTGTTTGGGAAGGAGCTAATCCATAGCATCCTCAGAAATCCTCAACCCAAAAGCATTTCCTATCCAATCTGCAAAGCCTCCTGAGCTTTTTAAGAAACAAACAAAAGCCGGGCGTTGGTGGCGCACGCCTTTAATCCCAGCACTCGGGAGGCAGAGGCAGGCGGATCTCTGTGAGTTCGAAGCTGGGCTGGACCAATAGCCTCCAAAACAATACAGAGAAACCCTGTCTCGTAAAAAAAAAAAAAAAAGAAACAAACAAAAAAAGAAAAACCTAATTTTTAGCCAGGCACTGAGTCATACACTTTTAATCCTAGCATTCAAGAGACAGAGTGGCTGGATTTCTGTGATTTCAGGAGCATCCTGGCCTACACAGCAAGTTCCAGGTAGCCAGGTTACATAGTGAGACATTGTCTCAATAATAATAATAATAGTAGTAATAATTATATCAGACTAATTCTTAGGTAGAGATATGGCTCAGTTTGTAAAGTGCTTACCTATCATGCACAAGCACAAAAATCAACAACAAAACAAAAAATAGGCCTGGTGGCACACACCTATAATGTCTACTGAGACCTGATAGCAGGAAGATTAGGAATTGAAGGTTATGCTCTGCTACATGGGGAGTTTGAGGCCAACCTGAGCTACATGAGACACCGTCTCAAGAAAAATTAAATTAAAACCCTAATATTCTCTTCCTTCCTCACCTCAGTGGCACATCCAGAAAAGCTAGGTTGCTTCAGCCTGGCTGAAAGTCCTGTCCTTGGGAGATGAAAATCTCATGCCTGTGCCTCTGTTTGTGCTGCTGAGGTCCAGAGCATAAGCAGGTGTCACACTGCACCTGGGAGAATTCAGACATGCCCATGTTCTGAGGGAGCAGAAGCCCACGGTGCAAGCGAGAGCTGCAGGGGTGTGTAGCATAAGAGCAGCATGGGAGCAAGAACCAGGCCAGCGAGGTTCTAGTCCTCGCACTGCCATTCTCTGGCTGGGCACCAAGAGCAGACTGCTGTGTTAATCTGTACTTGGCTAGTTAATCAAGAAAGGGTAATAAGCCCCGCTGAAACCCTTGATTCATTACGGGGGCAAAATAAAGCACAAGACACGAAAGCTTTGTAAACTGAAAACCAAAGCAGATAGGACGGATTCTTATTAACCATCCCCCCCTCCCCAAGGATGGTGGTGGGGTGGTGGGTGCCTCCTACAGGTGGTGGCTCTGGAATTCACCCTCTGTTCTGACACTGTGCCCTCTGTTTGGTTATTCCCTCCCCCCCCCCCCCCCCACAGCCTTGTCCTTGTCCGCAGCATTATCTCGTGTAGGCCCCTTCCCCAGGGTTCTCTTCTTTGTGGTCCCCTCAGAACTGCAGAGCTCTGGTGCCCTGGATCCCAGCCCACCTCCCCTCCCCAGGTACCTGTGTAATCGTCAGCTGGCTTGTCCTCATTCAGCATCAGGGTTTTCTCAATATGGGAGCGGTCCCTCATGGGAGCCTCTTCACTCACATCCTCCGTCTCTTCTGGAAAGAGAAGCAGACAATGTAGGGTCAGAGCAGAGCTAAGCCAGAAGAGCTCTAAGCCTCACAGAGATGGAGCAGGGCTGGGCCTCAAGTAGACGCAGAACAAAGCTGCCAAGCTGAATGAATTTGAAATGCAAATGCAACTTTTAAGACCCATGATCTATGTGTATGTGTTCATGTACGTGCAAGTGTACAGGAGTGTGCAGGAACATGTGGAGGCCATAATTCAACTCTGATGTCATTCCTCCAGATATATCCACCTTGCTTATTTGTTTATCCATCTTTTACTTTTAACGAGGTCTGTCATTGGTGTCTAGGGCTCACCAATTAGGCTTGACTGGCCATTGAGCCCCAGGATCTGTGTGTCTCTGCTCACCAGTGCTGGAATTACAAGTGCACAACACCATACTTGGCTTTTTACATGGGAACTGGAGATCAAACTCCGGTCCTCACAGTTGTTCAGTGAGCGTTTCACTGACTGCAATGCTTGGTCTTGGTGTCAACTTGTCACACATTAGTGTCACCTGAGCAGGGAGCCTCACTTGAAGAATTGTCCTGAATTAATTAATTGCCTTAATTAATGTAGGCGGGGCCCACCCACTGTGAGTGGTGTTATTCCTAGGCAAGTGGGCCTAAGCTACATAAAAAAGCTAACTGAGCAAAGCAGAGGGAGCAAGTCAGTAAGCAGTGTTCCTCCACGGTCCCTGCTTCTGTTCCTGTCTCAGTTTCCCTCAAGTAGACGAACAATAACCTGTAAACCAAGTAGATTCCTTTCTCCTCCAAGTTGTTTTCGGTCAGTGTTTTATCACAACAGAAAACAAACTAGGACACTGATGAAACTATCATCCCACCCCACTTACTGTGTTATCTTTTTAACTGTGCTGAGCATAGAATGTGGCAGCACACACCTATAATCCTGGCAGTCAAGAGGCCAAGACAAGTGGCTCTCAAATTCCAAGCCAGCCGGGCTGTATAGCAAGACCTTGTTTCAAAAGTAAAACGAATGTATCGAACACCTATCACATGCTGGGTGCCAGGTGTCATGCTGGCACCACGGTAACACTTGCACAGGCCCAGCTCCTGCCCTTAGGGAGTCATCCTACAGCCTAATGGGAACAAGCTGATGAGCTGTCTTTAAAACGTGGTAATTTTGAGCAGCAAGGCTATAGCAGCTTTGTGGGCCTAGGAAGAATGCCTGCAGGTTTGGGAGAGTGGAGGGGGGCAGAGAACCCTTCCCTGACATCTGCTGCCAAGTCAGAGTTAGTAAAGAAAAGAAAGTAGTTTTCCATAATGGGCCACTTATCCTGCCTGACAAGGAGTTGCCTGGGTGCCTCAGGACCTGACGAGACATCCTGAAAGACCACCACAGAGGCTTACATTTTACTCAGGGCAAAGAGAGCCATTGAGAGACTCCACTTACACACATGGCCACTGAGAGACTCCACTTACACACATGGCCACCATCGTAACAGGATAACACTAATGAGACATGAGTGGAAGGAAGCGCTGTGGGTGTGTGAGTGTACATGTATGTGCTGGCAGTCACGTAGAGGTCAGCTGTCCCACTGACCAAACAAACAAGAGACACTCATGCCTGATGAGTCCTAGGAAGAGCATTGCTCATGTTCCCCGGCCTCTAAGGTCACTCGTTTCTAGCAAAGCCACCTATTGAGGGATCTCAGATTAGGAGGGTGTAGCTTAGGCTTGAGGGATAGAGGGAGACCAGTGTCTTATGCAGCATTTCAGGCAGTCCCTGCTCCCAGATCCAGATGAGGACAGATAAAGAAAGGGGAGGAGCTTACTGCTTGCAGCACTACCTTTAAAGAAAGCGTAAGTGCCTAAAGAGAGTGTGAACATTAGGCTCTGCAGAAAGCCAGGCGTTGGTGCATGCCTGTAGTTTCACAGCATTCTAGAGGCTGAGGCAGAAAGACCAGGAGCACAAGGCCACCTTGACTATTACACAGTGAATTCAGACCTAGCCTGGAGCACACAAGCTCCCGTCTCAAAGTGGGGGAAATGGCTTTCAGGAAATCTGTAAGGAAGCCTTCTGGAAGAGTGATAGTGATAACACAACCCAGCCTCCACCCTGAAAGCCACCTTCTGTTCTGTCCACACATATCACATGAGGTGTTCAGGTCCTGACCATGTCACCCCTAATGTTGCCCAATAGCTCAGCCCCTCTCCGCCTTTTCCCCTGTCCCTTGAGAGCTGTCCTACTCTAAAGGGGCATTTGACAGCAGTCAGCCTCAACTCTCACACCATGATCCTGACCCCTTGGTTCCTGATGTTCACACCTCATGTGGGAAGTCTTCAAGAGCAGAGTTAGTTGGAAGAAGAGTGAGTGACCTGTTGTAGGGAGAGACCTAGGCACCTGTGCCGCTGACCACGCCCATTTTGGGCGTGCAGAATAAAAGGCTGAAGGGAGAAGCATACTCTCCCTCTTTTGGGTTCCGGTCGGTCTCTGAAACCTGCTGAAACTAGCCTGGGTTGCTAGTTTCTCTTGTAAGTACTTTCCCACGAATAGTCACCTAAACCCTCATCAAGTTGCGCTTATATTTCCTTATCAGCTGATGTCAGCTGACCACGCCCATCTTGGGCGTGGCTGCAGGTGCCTAGGTCTCTCCCTACAGACCTGTGGTTCCTAACCTGCCCCACCAACATCCTGTACCTGCTTCCACCAGCCAGTCTCAGAACCACAAACCTACCATCAGTCACCTGTCCTTCAGGCTCCTAAAGAGGAGCCTTCTTGGTCCTAATTCAGAAATGGTCAGATCCCTCTAAGCTTCCTGCTAGATCCATCCACACTGAATGTGTTTTTTTGTTTGTTTGGTTGGTTTTGTTTTTTGTTGTTGTTGTTGTTTTTCGAGACAGGGTTTCTCTGTATTGTTTTGGAGCCTGTCCTGGAACTCACTCAGTAGACCAGGCTGCTCTTGAACTCACAGAGATCCACCTGCCTCTGCCTCCCGTGTGCTGGGATTAAAGGCATGCGCCACCAACGCCCGGCCACACTGAATGTTAAGTGGCTAAGGAACACCCTAAGTGGACTCTGTGGGCTGATCCAAGAGACAGGACCCTGCCTAACAAAGCCAGAACTAACCAGGAGTTATCCCACCCCATGTTTGTCCCACAATATACAAGATTTCCATAAAGAATGTATTTGTCCGAGGTTCTGGGACTGCCTTAAGGAATGAATTCCTACCCTGATGAGCAATCACAGGATTCCCTCTCCCCTGTTGTCTCTCTTTGGACGCCTCCGCCACTGTATCCTGGGTCTTGCCGCCCTCAGACCCTGTGTCCAAATCTTCTACATCAAGCTGGGTGCCTTCCGCCTTGTGTTCTGTAGTCTCTGCTGCTTTCTGGGGCTCTCCAGCCTCCCCGGAGATGTCCCCCTCTTCTTCTGAGCTAGCACCATCACCGCTGTCTTCTTCAGACTCTTCTTTAGATGGAGCTCCTCCTTCCTCACTTCCTCCTTCCTCATCACCCTCTTCCTCAGAGGAGGCCTCTGCCAGGCCTTCCTCAAGCATCCCCGATACCTGGCCCTCAGGAGGGTACGTCTCTGTCTCCCTGTCCTTGGAGCTCTGGGTGTCCCCAGATTTTTCATTGGCCTCTGTAGCCGAGCCAGCCTCCTGGCTAGGTCTAGGCTCCCCTTGGTCCTCGGCCTCCTCCCCAGCTTCTGTATCTACCTCAGCCTTTGATTCTTCTCCAGCAGATGTGGCATCCGGGGCTGGAACTACCTCTGTAGGCTGGTGACCAGGTCCTGGGCTAGCCTCAACTTCTTTTTGAGAGGCATAGACTTGACCCTGGTCAACTGCTCCTTCTGCAGCTCCTTCTGCCTCTACTCCAGAAGACATGCTGGCGGAGACTACATCCAGGTCAGTGGGCTGGTGACCAGGCCCTGCCATGGCTTCATCGTCTGATGGCAGGGCATAGCCCTGGGGCTGGTCCTCTGCTCCCTCTCTGGCTCCTGCTGCCATGGCAGCCTCTGGTTCATCTCCAGCATATGTGGCATCCTGGACTCCATCTAGCTCTGTGGAGTGGTGACCATACCCTGTGTTGCCCTCACCTTTTGCCTCCAGTGTATAGACCTCTTCACCCTCTGTGCTAGGAGACCCCTGGGTGGCTGCAGACTCTGTTGTCCCTGCTGCTGCTTCTCTCATGGGGCTATCTCCTAAGGTTCCCTGGGGACCCTCAGGGACCTCACTACTTCCCTCTCGTACTTCTGCCCCCATACTGACAGCCCCGTCCTGTCCCGGTTCCGCTCCAGAACTGGACTCTGGCCTCTCTTCTTCTGGCCCCCCCACCCCTCCTGAAGGAAGGGTGTCTGCTGCTGCTGCTGCTGCTGGGCCCTTCTCTTCCTCCCCAGGCCCTTCAGCATCCCCAGATGGAGCTGACTCTGCAGCTGAGGTATTGGACAGGCTAGCTTCCGATTCGGAGCCCTGGCCGTTGGCAGTGGAAGGGGCCCCTGCTGGGGTCTGCTCCAAGCTCTCAGCCTCCCTGCCGTCTGGGTAGTGAAGGAGCAGGGTCTTGTCTCCAGGGGCCGCATCTGCATAAAGCGCCCTTTCTTTCTCCTCTAGACTTGCATCTCCAGCAGAGAAATGATTCTCCAACAAATTGCCAACATCTTCTGTGCCACCCGAAGCAGAGACTTGCAGTTCTAAATGGTTAGAACATGATTGGTCAGTTCACAGGGTTGGCACTTGCCCTGCTTCTCAAGAGTCTATATCAGTCTAGCTCCCACGGCAGAGAGCACTGTATGTACCTAGTGTCCAATGTTATGCCTCCCAACTTGTGTCCTCTGGACCACCTGCCTCCCTCCAAGCCTGCAGGGAGTCTACAGATTAGGGAGTTAAAGGGTTGACTTTCTGTCCCCTCTGATGACTATATATGGATAGGAACTTGGGTGAGCCCTTCCAGTCCTTCCTCAACCTTGCAACGGGTGTGGCACGTGCCACCTGGCTCCTGAGGAGCTATTCCAAGATAGGACAAATGCTAGTGCATTCCTCTCCTTGTCAGTTCCTAGAGTCATTAACCAGTGTGCTTTTTATACTGCTATCAGCAAAGGAGTGAAAACAGGTGTTTGCAGGCCAGATAATCTTAGGTTACAAGGCAAAGTACTTAGGGGATTACTTGTGGCTCTTGGCTTTATTAAGTCACACATCTAACCCTGTCCGCTTAAGGGCAAGGCATTCACTGGCCTCCCTACCTCAGATTAGAGGGAACAGAGGGACTGAGGAGGAGACATCCAAAATGGGCAGGACCTGGGCTTCCCAATGGCCTCAGCCAACCCCTTCTGAGGGGATCCCCTTCTAAGGTCCTGCAACTGTACCCACAGAGCAGAGAGCAGAACAAACATGGGCCCAGTCTGTGCCAGAGACTGCCACCAAGGGTCAAGTTGGGTATTTTTGGAAAATGGGATGGAAGCAAATCTTAGACCTCTCTATCCCGTCTGACCTTCCCTCCCAAACTGGAATCTGTTTAAAGAGGAGGCCTGCAGGAAAAACTGCAAGACCACGGGAAAGCCTGGTGCTCGCATCTCCTCCTTCATTTAAGTAAAAAGCCTTTCTGTCTCCAGCCATTACAGTTAGTCGACCTGTGTCAGCTCCTGAAGTATGGGAAGCTCCGGAGCATTTATCGAGGAGTCCTGTATACAAATGTATAAAACTTCACCCCAAGCACACTAGGATTCACAGCTATTTGTAAGCTTGCTTATTATGCCTGCCAGATTTTAGACCCAAATTAGTGATGGTCTTTGGTTTGCCACAGACACGTGGCCACCATGTGACTAAGAGGTGACTAGAACACAGAACTGCCAACTCCTAGTCCATGATGTAGTCCCAAGACACTGGCTACATGCTCCCTCTTTCCAGGACCATGCTCCTGGCTCCTGGGGAGCAGGATGGATCTTAATTGTGTGTTCCCAGAACTCAAGACCCTTTCCTGCCCTGCAGAAAGTTCTAGAAGTCTACATTCACATGAGAGAACCAGTAAGAATTCCTGGTTCCTTGGTCTCCACAGCATGGGAAACTAAATATTACTTGCCCTAATTTCTTCTCCTGCATTTCTGTGCCCCAGTCCCTGAGAAGAATCTGTGGCAGGAATGTGCTTTAACCTAAGGAGACTGGCAGCCCTCTGAGCAGTAAGATGTAAAATACATGAGATATATTCATATAATTATTTACCATGCCAGGCAATGGAAAATACCCCATCTCACTCAATTTACTTAGACTTACTTGCTTCTGGAAAACAAATATTACTTATCACTCTGTCTCTGTCTCTGTCTCTCTTATTTTGTTTTGTTTTTCACGATAGGGTGTCTCTGTGTAGCCCTGGCTGTCCTGGAATTCGCTCTGTAGACCAAGCTGACCTTGAATTCAAAGATCCACCTGGCTCTACCTCCTGAGTGCTGGGATTAAAGGCAGGTGCCACCACTGCCAGGCTGCTAAAATCTCTTTATAGGTAAGAAGACTGAAATTCAGGGCCCTACCTGTGTCACATGTCTGGCACCAGGCTGAGGACCTTTGGTTTACATTGCCAGACTCTGAGCAGGATCATCACTGCTCAAAGTGTGGTCCAGAGACCAGGTTCTTCCACAGCATCACCTTAGAGCCTTCAGGAGCAGTGTCTCAGGAGCAAGTCAGAATACATGGATCAGAGCCCTTATTTAACTCAATACCCCAGGTGATTAATTTACACATTCCTATAGTCTCCACCACTTTCTCTCCTTTCCTGTGGTTTTCAATACATGGAATCACCTTGTTCTTGATTCTTTATTTCCTCCCCTTCCTTAGTTGTGCAGATTTAAATTATCCAGGATGAGGTCCTATCATCAACAAAAGCATATATTCAGTAATCCCAGCACACAAAGTTACAAACCACTGCAGCTTCAATGACAAATAGTTTGACCTCAAGACTTCTACTTCCAGTCCCTCCACATGGGAGGATCCCCACTGGAGTTCTCAATTTGGGTTAGACCTCCAAAAGCTGGCATCATCCCTCGGAATGGCAGTGTCTATCAGCTTTTTCCCTGTTGTATCTAACCCTTTCCACAGACTTCTGTTGCCCTATGATGACAAAGATGGTGATGATGGGTGTAGTGATGTTTACAGAGCTAAATAGATTCTAGGTCTAGCTTCTTGTTATATTTCTGACATTCTCAGAAGCACCTCTGCTGGACAGTGGTGGCCTTGAATCCCAGCACTGGGGAGGCAGAGGCAGACGATCTCTGTGAGTTTGAAGTCAGCCTGGTGTACAGAGCAAGTTCCAGGACAGCCAAGGCTACACAGAGAAACCCTGTCTCAAAAAACAAACAAACAAAACCTTTGACTCCAGTGGGAGCGAGAAGCTGGCATCATCCAAAAAAGCGTGAGGAACCAGATGTTGAGGAGATACCTGACCTTCACACTGCTGTTTCCCCTTCCGGTTACTGGACCATGTATGTATATACATTAGCATCTCCCATCTTTGGTTTTTACATATTAAAGCCAGAGCCCCCTAACTGATTGTCTGCTAAGCAGTTTGGAATGAAAAAGATTGATGCCCCATGACCTTCCTTTCAGTGAAACCAGCTGTCCCACTGGGGCTCCCAGAGTTCACCCTCAGGAAGCATTGGACCCAAGTCTGTTGTGGGAGGCATAGCTGATGCTCAGTTCCCCGAGATCCAAGGCCAGTGTCCCGCCTTCCCTCCCTCCTGGCTTCTTGCCAGAGCCCCTATTGGTGTCCAGAGAAGGAGGGTTAAGAGCACACAGAGGCTCCTGTTGGGCTGTTCTGGTGAAATGAGTATGGTTCCATATCAGGACATGAAGTATCCTACTGTATGAACCTCTGCCAACACAGCCACCTCAGCACTGGCCAGCCCTGGGCACTGACGTCAAGGCACACGAATAGCAGGCCCCCAGCTCATCCCCAAAGGTCCATGGAGCCCTAAGCACATTGCAGGCTGAGTCCAGCCTCACGCCAGCACTACCTCTCCCGGCACCCCCTCTACCATCAGCCCTCTTGGGGAATCTAGGCTTCCTGTTGCTCTCCTGACCCCACAGCCCAGCGCTACCTCCACTGCTCTGTTCTTTCTCCCCACAGTCAAGCACACTGGCTCTGTCCCTCTACTCCTGCCTTGTCTCATAGCGCTTCTGTGGACTCAGAGATTGGTGAGTTTCCAAGGGCCTATGAGGGCAACTGGAGAGGAGGAAGCACTGGCCAGGGAGGGCCTTAAAGGCTGGCCAGAGGACAAGGTCAGGCTGGGACAGAGCCCTTGTCTGTGGCCTAGTGTTCTCACTAACCTGGGTGCTTTACCTGCTTGTGTTCCAGGAAGTAGCTAAGGGGAAAGGGGAGATGAAATAGCCTAGAGCTAGGTCCTCCTTCATATTCCTTACCCCCCTGAATCTATCTGCCCTACTGTCTAGAGGGTTAGAATGGAGAGGACCACCAACCACAGCTCCCTCCCTTTCTGGTCTTGTATGCCCCCACCCTTTGCTGATCCGGGGGTACAAGGCTCTCACTAGATCCTGCCTTGCCCTCAGGGCTCTGAGACACTCTGGAGTCCTTATTCTTTGATCCTCCTCACAGCCCTCTCAGGCAGAAAAGGCAAGGGCTAGCGATCTCTCTGGAAATGAGGAAGCAGACACAGAAAATGGAAAGGGTTTGTTCCACAAGTCATTCCTGCAGAGTTCTACCTGGGAATAGTGTGGCCATACCTACAAAGCTTTGCAAGCACTGGATTCAGGCTCTGGGGCTGGGCCAGTATGTTTCTATTTTATAAGATAATTCTAGATTAGCACCAAGGCCTGAGACCCTCAACGCTAAGTCTTCCTCAGCATCAAGTGCCAAGGAGCTCCTTCCCAAAGTTGAAAGTAGAGATCTAAAGAATAAATCTCAGAACACAAGAAAATTTTGTTTATTAATCTTTTTTGAGCTCACCTCAATATAAATTCCACTGATTTCAAACTCAGAGGTCTACCTCTGCCTCCCAAGTGCTGGAATTAAAAGTGAGTGCTGGTTCCTTAGCAATCTTTAGTAAGGATAGCCTGAAATTATTCTCCTACAGCTTTCTCATCCATTTGATCTGAAACTATGACAGTCAAAGACACATAAGTGCAATACCTTTGGACCACCTCTCATACACACGTATGCAAATGAGCCATGGATGGTAATAAAGATGCCAGAGGAAAGTCTTTCCTGTTCTACACCTTGTCGGGAGCGCACCGCCTTGTAGTTCACAGGCGTTCCAAGTCGCACCAGTCGCCCTTGACTCACACGCCAGCGCCTCATGGCTGTGTCTCCAAAGGGACTGGACAAACATCAGACCCATGACGCTGCTGCTATTCTCGCTCTTTCAAAAGACCCTCCATTTTCTGGGCAACAGGCTGACCCTTGCTTCTAGGCCTTGTCTCTGGACACTTCTGGGCTGGACAGACATGTCCCAGCAGCCTCTCCTGCCGTCTTCGTTTGTTTATCTGTTTCACTTATTGTACCTCACTCTGCAGTGAACCACCCAGAGTTCCCTCTTCTGCGTCTCAGGCGGTCTTCATCAAACAATGTGGCTGGCAGCAGGTTCTATGTAGGGTTTCAACAGAGAAGTGTCTCCCAGAGCAGGGGCTGTCTGCATCCTCCCAGGACCAGGAACACTATCAAGCCATTCTTTGGCCTCTAGCCTTCCCT